GTGTGTGTGTGTGTGTGCTGGTCCGTTGCTTTTCTCAAACTAGAACTGTTGAAAGTCCACTTGATAACTACTTTTTCCTGTAGTGATTGGCCTGTATTTCTCAGCATTGGTCGACAGATTTCACTAAGTGGGCTAGCAGAAAGACCTATGGAGGTTTTCTAAGCCAAGAGGATGAAACCTGATATGATAGAAAAAAAGGAGAAAGCCACGAAGCAAGCTGATTGGAGAAAACCTTAATGGTGTTTTGGGCCACGTGTTTTGTGTTAAACTTGCAAATAATAGAATTAAATAATAAATTTAGAATTAACATTAATGCTAGAGAAAGAAAGAAACCTGTGAAATCTTCCTCTACCACAACTTTACAAAGACATTTATGTATGTCCAACTTTGGTTCAGCGGTAAGCATGTGGGCTTATAACGCTAAAAATGAGGTTTCGATACCCGCAGTGGTCAGAGCACATATAGTCTATTTTATAGTTTCGTGCTTAAAAACAAAACAAATTCAATTTAACATATTTTAACATGTATCTCTAAATATTTAAGATGATTCCGCATCAGTTTATAACTATACAATATCAACATAGTCATGAAGGTATAATAAACAGAATTACTTAATTAAACTAAGGAAAAAAGTAAGTTTCATTTATAATCTATAAGAAGTTTTTTGTGTGAAATATTGGAGGTTAAAATATTAATTTCTGTAAAGTAGACGGGTTATTTGTGAAAAAACGTCATTTCTGTCCAAAAAAACTTGTTGAAGAATCTACATTAAACTAAAAAAATTTCATAAACCATGATTCCCCAGTTTTATTATTTAACCCAAACAAACCTGTGTCAGGTTAGCAAGAATAAACCTAAATGCGAATCATACAAGATACTCTGGGTGGCAGATACAGAACACTCTCAATGGCAGATACAGGAAACTCTCGATGGCAAATGGTGTACGTCTTTTACTTATTTTAGTACTAACAAGTTAAATCTTAATTCTTTTATATTCATGTCAAAGAAAAATAACAAAAAATAATTTGACTGGATCTTTCATACTCAACAACAACAACAAAATATAAGTGTAATTCGTACTCACATGACAGGCATCATTCCGAATGATACGTTTCTAGACGTTGTTTCGTAGGTGCAACGAACGTTATAGACTTTGTCTGATTTCGTCATGACAACACTGTGATGTTGTAGCACTACAGTGTTAGTAAACACTCCCGCCTGGAAAGAAAAATATACTTAATTTTATAGAGCTTCAACTTAATCACGTGAATGTCATGTCAATTCTATAATTCTTCATTACAAACTTAATAGAGAAAGGCCTATATAATAAACGCTTGCAAAATCTCTTTTTTTCAGCACTTTTGTACTTTGTATTTGGCATTGGCTCATTGCCAAAAAATTTAATTTTATACAACTTGTAGTTGTCTAATGTTAGTCCCACATTTTTATTGTTCCAAGGTTTGGTTTGTTAAATTTTAGCATTACAATATATTATATGTGAACCATATTATGTTTTATTTTTATTTTTAACTTAGATAGGTAAGCTTGAAATGTTCACCAAATATTTTCGAAAGTTTCCTTACAGTAGTTAAAGTATGTGACTAACTTGCTTGTGCTCTAGTTACTCATTGTCATAAGCTTTTCCCCTTAGTCGCTGTTAAAGTCTCTCTCACGCGGAAGATGTCAGTGAAGAACTATGTAATTTAACATCTCTTAGTGCTATACTGAAGTCAACAGTGTAGGTACAGGTCTGACAGCAACTAACGGCTATACCCTTCCTATTCGTACTTACAAACTGACCAGACTTAGCATGGGTAGCTTACTATTCAGCCTTATTCAGTTTTGTTTCTTATCATAACTTCATCTAGATACTAAAGAATAGTTCTGTCAATTCTATTGTGTGCTTGTCTTTTTTTTTTGGTTGTGTTTGATCTTAAAAAATATTACTTTGTACCCCGTTTTCACGCTGTATTTTTTCTTTTTCTTCAACTCCGTCAGAGACAGAACTTCAGATTTAATTCCACACAAGTTTTATCATTACGTTTGTCATCTGTAATTATTATTCTTACCTGTGAGGTAAATCAGTATACCTGAGAATATCACAAGTAAGGTAAGAAATAATAGACTGTAATGTGTAATCTTCTTTGACTGGACAGTCTTTGAATACGAAATAAAAAAAACAGTGTACGTTGGAATTTTTCCTAATACTTAAAGATTTCAAAATTCGCCACTTTTTGAGTTAGATTATTTCCAGTTTTGATGAACTACTTTTCAGTGATAAAAACGGAAATTGTTAGGTGTGGAACTAAATATTTATCTAATTGCTCATTTCAGTTTTTTTTTTTATTAATAAGTTACTTCCATGATGTGTAACCGACGGTTAGCGCTCTTAACCTTTCAGATAATATTTGAAAAATAAATAAAAAACTGGCAATAATAAGTATAATTTGGAGTCGCGGCTGTTGGATGTGGTTATGTAAAGGTGTTTCATTTCGAATGCATTGGGTATGACTCGAAACGATCATCAGACTTGCGTTAACTTTTTATCAATTTCAGAAATGACGCCATTAGCAACACTAAGTTAACAACACTTTTTTTCAATACGGAAAGGTTGTGAAAAGACAAATCTGAAGAAAACGGTATATTCAGCTCTTTATGTTTTTCGTTAGGTCCAATAGTTTGCTTAAATAACATTTAAATTCGGATGTGCGTGACATATCCATGGTTAAAGTAGGCTTACCGCTGACTCAGTATTACAGTCTTGGCCCTTCAGTGACACATCCAGCTGAAATTGTTGGTCGTTGTGGACGTTCGCTCGACAAGTTTCACTTCTACCTAAAGCGTAGATTCGTCCATGAAAGGGTTTGTTAGTTCGGACGAAGACGACCATTTTGACGTCTGTGCACTGGACTGATACTAGACGATGAGTGTAGTAAATTAGAATGTAAGTCCTTGAATAAAATCATAGAGATGAAGATTTATAGCTTATTACAGAAGATTGCCAATATTTAAATTGACCCCCATTTTCATTTGATTAAAAGCCGTTCTTAAAAGTAAGGGATGTCGTCAGTGGCATAGCTACCAGGAAATCCTTATGTCATCCGTTGTGCCTTACAACCTTATGATTTCCGTGACTTTACAACTTCTGATTAACAGTTATAAACCTTTACCTAGACCCAGGCAATCTACACAGCGTGGTCACAAGTAAATAGACACCTAATTTTTAGTCATTTAACTGATTCATGCTAACTAATTTG